AGCGTATTAAATACAAAGTTTTTTTTTTTATTTAAAATTTTATGAATTTACAATTAAATTATAATATTCAACACAGTTTATTTTTTGTAATTGATTCCAAAGTTTTTTTTTAATAATTTTTTTAAAATTATTTTTATTATTCATTTTCTAATATAATTATATTCACATAACCTCTTTTATTTATTAGAAATCTTTTATTTTCATTTTCATCAATTTTTTTATTTATTTATTTTTTTTAAATCAGTATAAATATAAGCATTGTGATCATTCTAAATTCATTTATATTTTTCTTTTATAATATATATATTTCGAATATTTATATCTTTATTTATTACAATTATAATATTTACACATATTATTTATACATAATCATTAAAAAAATTGTGTATATTTATATTTAGATCAATTTTTTTCTTTAAAAAAAAAATGTTAATTATATTCCATCTTTTAGATTTATTACATAAAATATCAAAATAAGATTCTATTTTTATTTGGAAGTCTCTCAATTTGTAATTCTTTATATTACAAATGTACCAAATATACCAACTATAAAAAAACATTCTGAACATTTATTTTCGTGAATACGAATATAAATCTTTTAATAATAATGTAATTCTTTAAATAAATGAAATCTGTAATAGAACAAGTTTATAATATAATAAATACGTTTATCTATTGTCGCCTTAACAGATTATAAATAAAATAAAGTTATATAAAAATATAGGGAATTCTGATTTTCGTAACAACTGATTGATTAATTTCTCGTATTATTGGTAATACTGAGTTTAAGATTAAAAAATAAGCAAGTTAGTAAACAATGCAAATAGTAAACTGTACGCTCAATTTACCTAAGCATTTTTGTTTTTTATTTTTATTATTTTTTCTTAAAAATTGTAGATAGTTCTTCTTATTTTACATTTTATTTGACAAAAAAAAAATTTTTTTATCATTTAAGTTAATGAGTGCGAGATAATTATTTAAAAATAATATATTATTTTTTATTCATTATTTTTATAATAAACCATTTTCAAATTACATGAAATTTTTTTTTGAAATTTCTAATGAAATTTCTAATTTTTATGTTTTGTAGATATTAATAATGAAATATTTTTCAGAAAAGAAGAAACAAATGGCTGAGAAAGAAATCTGTGGATTTTTAGATGTCAAATATTGTGGTAGTAAATCTAAAGTTCATAAAGTTAAAAAGAGAACACTGGGTCCTTGGAAAGTTTGGAAAAGACATTGGTGTTCCTTTCAAAAGCTTAGTTCTGAACTAGGCATTAAAGTACATCTTGATTATTGCATTGGCAATGATAATAATTCATCATTAAATGATAAAGAAAATTTCATAATAATACCATTGAATGCCGTTATTTCTCGTACTCAATCTAGATCTAAACAATTTGCTTTTGGTATATTTGCTATTAAAGAAAGAAAACCATTACTTTATTTAGCTGGTAATTCAGAGACAGAATCACAACGTTGGATGGCAAACATTAGACAACTATTAAAACCTAGAAAATTTAAAATTATAACAGGATCTTATAATATCTCTATGGTTGATAATTCACATTCTAAGGCATCAGGGTTGACAGGTATTTAAATTTTTATTTATATAAAAATTTATACTTTCTAATATTAATTATTAAAGTATTGTTCAGGATTATATGGTGATTTGATAACCAATAGATTAGGAATTATGATAAAAGATGTTCATTCAGGTGAAATAATAGAAAATTTTGAGTGGGAAGAATTAAATCAGTTTCATTTAGTCACAGCAGGACGACCAGAAGATGTTAAATGCATTTGTGTTATTCATACGACAAAAAATTTTCGTGCTGGAATTGGTGAATTACATTTGTTTTGTTTAGAAGCTCCCAAATTATTGCAAGATTTGGTAACTCAAGGTCGTGGTCCAAGACACAAACAAATTAATAGAAAGCTTTTAAGCTTAAGTGAAAATGATATTAGAATAGTATCTCATGATGAACATTTGCAAAATTATTCAATAGCAAATAAAAAAATGGAATTGAATATGTTAAATGAAAGATATGAAGAAATAAGTTGTAAAGTATTTAATAAACTAACTGAGAATGTCTATCAATCAGAACCATGTAATTATTATCATATTAGAAAATTTTCTGATATTTCTCTAACTTCTGGAATTTATGAAGAAATATCTGATAAATCTAGTAAAAATGCAGCAGCTACTTCAAGTTTCTATATAGAGCATTTTTTTTACAATCATTCATCAGAAGAACCCCCACCTTTGCCTCCACGACAAAGATGTGCTTCAGAGTCTATGAAAGAAAGCAGGTTTGCATTTATTTACTTTTCTTAAAATTATTAGTAAAATTATTTAATATAGTGTATTACATTTTTTATTACATATATATATGTATTTTTAAGGTTGCCAAATGTTCGAGTTTCTGGATCCAATAGTTTATCTTTAACATCTCATAGAAATTCTATAAAAATTGAAAAAAATAATTTAGAATTTCAAAGAATAATGGATGAATCTAATTATGTTCCTATGTCACCTCGATTAAAAGATATTACATTATTAAAAATGCAAGCAACAATGCAAGAAAATGATTATGTTATTATGCAATAGACAGGACATCAAATGCAGTTCAGTGAGAGATCAATTGATATTTTCTAATATTTTCTTTTTTAAATTTAAATACACATATATTTATATATATGAAAGAAAATATAAAAGCTAATACATGATTGAACTTAATTCGTTTCTATGCAGAGAAGAGCTTAATTCAAAAACTAGTTTAAGCATCATTGAAAATTATTTATACAAAATTTCATATATACTTTATTCAAAATTATAAATTTGTACATATGCGAGGCTTCCGTTTTCAGAACTGTATTGGAGCGCATGTTGCAGCTTATCTTTATTGCTTATATTTCAAATATGGCAGAATTTATTTATTTTTCTTAATATTAAATATTCTTTCACACACGCATGTGCGCGCACGTACATTCATATGCATACATAATCATAATTAAAATTCCTAGATTTTATATTTTTTTAAATTAATCTATAATTGATAATCTGTATTTTGAACCTAAGCCGTGATTTGTAAAAATATCAAATTCTTCACGATTTAAAAGAGCTCCACGTACATCATCCAAAACTATCATTTTTGGATATCTATAAATAAAATAAAAAAAGACTGTTATAATTCCGTGATAATAATAATAATAATAATAATAATAATAATAATAATAATAATAATAAACATATTATATATATATATAAAAAGGGATGGTAATATAGTTCACAGTTTTATAATTTTTTTTTTAAATTGTAATTTGTAATTTAAATTGCTCTAATTTTTTACATAATTATACTTCATGATGCGTGATAATACTTTTCATATAGTTAACAGATAAAGCATCTATTAGATGTCTTTATTAAATATGAAAATGAGATATATAGACACCAATTTTACCAATTACCAGCAAGGAGCCATAATACCATTCTTTTTTCTTTATATATATTTGATATTTACATTATAATATATATAAATATATACATGATTGTAAGATATTTACATTATAACATATATAAATATATAAATTATAATGTATATAAATATATAAGCAGCATTTAAGCAGATTAAGGAAATATATATTTACCCATTATTACTGCATCTTTCCCAAGCTTTTGCTAAAGACATTCTAACTAAATCTTCTGTAAGACATTCAACAGCCTAAAAACATTAAAAAAAATATATAGAAAATTTTTTAATAATTTTTAAATAGAATAAAAATAAATAAAATAATTCATACTCGCATTATCATTCGACTAGCCGCACAATGTACGACAGTGGGTACAATTTCTTCAGAAATTAGCTTAATACCAATTTCTCTAGCAGTTTCACAAACAAAATCATAAAATGGTTCTAATTTCCTTTCAAGTTCCAATACTGTAATTTTCGTATTTGCATATTCTCTATTTTCTTTTCTTTTTTTTAATTCTTTTTTATTTTCTAATGTGACATCAATATTTACCACATCAATCTCAATATCTAACTCAGTAGAGTGATATGAATTACAATCAACTAAATTATCATTTGATTGACATGGATTAACTTGAAGCCATTTACAAAAAGTATCAGGCTCTGTACATGTAGAAACATACTTGGTAATTGTTGAATTAGGCAAACTTTTCTGTTGTTTTATTAATCGAATATTAAAATTTGGAGAAAGAGGTGTATAACCATGCAATCTTGCCCAAATCATTATTTCTTTAATGCTCCACAATTCTTCTTCTGTAAATGATTTTTTTTTCAAAAAACACCATATCATTTTTGCTCGGTTCCATTCACAAGCATTTCGCTTTGTTATAGTGTATCTAAAGAATTCTTCTTCGCTTACACAAGCATAAGGATGTAACCGTCTATAATCAGAGTCGGAAGCGTCTCGAGTTATCATAGGCATTCTTCTAATAATAAATCGTAATAGGCCTTGAATATTTAGAATATTTGCAGTTTCAATTGTCCGAAAAACCTCGTCATAAAATTCTTTTTTACTTTGAATTTTATATTTATCCTTGCCTAAAGTGATTTTTTGACGTAATGCTTTTGATTCTTTTATCTCTTCATTTTTTATTTTTAATATTTGTTCAGTAACTGAATCCTTTTCGAAATTAGGAAAAATATTATTTAAATTTTTTTTATCTGCTATTTTTAACACTGGTACATTTGAATTTATATTTAAAAGAATACTTTTAGAAACTTTGAGTTTTAATCCTTGTTGTACTTTTGTTCCATTAGTATTTCGTATTTGAATTGTAGTTTCTGAACCTAAAGGTTTTTTCAATAAGCTAATACCGCGAGAAGCAGATAAATTTAAATTTTTCGATTTCGTTAAATCATTATTATAATTATCATCCATACATGGAACTGTAATATCCACAGGAATTGTTTTATTGTTCTGAAGAACTAAGACATGCTTATTTCCAGATGGTTCAAACAATGGAGGAATGGAAATTTCCAAAGGACGAAGATTCGAGTGAACTTTGGAACAACTCAATGGAAATACTTTCAATGTGCTCTGATTAATTTCATTTAGCGAAGGTATACTTGTGTTAATTAATTCTTCTTTTACTTTTAAATTATTTAAATCTCCATTCATTGAGAGTTCATTTGCTACTGTATTATCATTTTCAATACTTTCTTTTTTCTTTTCTTTTGACTGACACTCTATGACAGTTTTATCCAAAGATAAATCAGTTGATGCTATTAATGAATGATCAATAGTTAAATTTTTTTCAGAATTATTTAAGTACTTTGAACCACAATAATCATGATCAAGTTCTATATAAAATAGCAATTTTTTCGTATTAATTAAATCTTCGCTAATTTTCATATCTCTTGAAGATTCTTTTTTAACTAATACGTCACAGATCTTATCTGTTAATTTTAATTTTTCATTTATATTGTTACTAGTGAAATCAAATATAGGATTAATATCTTTGTCATTTTCTAATTTCACTTTGCAATTATATTTGATTTCGTTAATATCTTGATCTATAAATTTACCCGTATTTCGTTTAGAATCTCGGGAGTCTGCATAAATCCATATATCGACAAGTGTCTCAGATCCTAAAGTTTGTAAACCAGTATAAGTACGATCTAGTTTCAAATAATGAATTATATCCATTGGTTTATTGAGAGCACTTTTAAAATGCAATTGTACTCTTAATGGAAATTCACCCCAACCACGTCTTGATAGACAAAATGGCGTTGATGTAACTTCCACAACATCATTGGGTCTATAACTAGGATGTAAAAAGAATCTGACTTTACTAACAAAATCATTGATATCAGGATTTTCCTTATTTCCTCTAACATACATTGTCCATTTATGACTAGCTGCATCTTCTCTCCATTCTGGGGGAATCCATTTTGAAATATTTCCAATAATTATACGTTTTCGTATCTTGTGTCTAATACCTCTTGATGGATATTGAGACTCTGGAATTCCACTTTTTGGTGGAATATATCGAGGAATTTTCTTTGGCCTTAATTCTTCATCTGTTTCATTACTTCTTTTCTCTAGTCGACAATGTTCAGAAGTTTCTTCTGTTTTTATTGTAGCATTGATATTAAATGGAGATATTGAAATTGATTGTGATGTATTAAAATAACTTTCACTTGATGTTGATATGGGAATATTTAACTTATCAGATATCTTTGGTGATTTACCAATTAATTCTTTTATTGCAGGATGAATTTGAGTTTGCTTTGTTTCTCCATTTTGTGAATTTTGACATTGTTTACGATTATAAAAATCTGCAACAATAACATAACGCAATAAATGAAGAATTTTTGTTGCTCTGTGTAATCTTTCTTGTATTTCTAAAACTTCTTTTTCTTTTGTGTTAATTTCTTGAGAAAATTCCTTTTCAATAATAGCATTTATTTTCTTTGCAGTACTGCTTCGTGCTAAAATGAAATAAAATGAATAATAATAATTAAGTAAAATGCAAATACAAAGAAATACAATTAATTTATTAATTAATACAAATAAATACACTTTATTAATTTAATTTATAATATTATTGTTAGAAAATAGTGATCAATGTTAAAACAAATGGAGTATAAATAGGTTAGATACAATAGAAATTCAAATAGAAGTATCATATAAATTTGATCAAATATTCGATATATACCATTTTCTTCATAAATTCGTTGATGTTTTTCATTACTTGCAGAAGATGGCCCGTAATCGGGATCTTGATCTTTTAAGGCACTCATTTACCATACTCGTTTTCGGACATATAATAATTAAATAGAAAAATGTTTAAAACCTATTTTTCCGTAAATAGGCAATATTTTACGTGTAATAAAAAAGTTTTTTCATTATTACTAACATCAATTTTTTATCATGATATTTGTCATAACTTAAATAATGAACATGTGCTCCGTACTTTATTTTAAAACACCCTTTAAATGGAGGGTTGCGCTTCTAAGTGTCGATATTATTTTCTATAAACAAATAATAGAGGTTATATTTTCTATGAAATTTTATTTTAATTAATAATAATAATTAGTTTGAAAATACGAAATTTTATGCATATATAATAAAAATTATTTTACACATATTATTAAAAGTATGATATCATAGTGACAAATATATATATACGTACATACATCATGGCTTAGCTATCCATATGTTATGTACTCATAATGTCGTTGAAAATTTTAAGGAAATATGACAACATATGTGAAGTATGTTATTAATAGTATACATACGTAAAGTTAGCTTAGTAACAACAGGTGTGCTACATAATAAAAGAATTTGATGAACTTTATTATTATTTCCCTAAGTATTGTAAAAACTCTTAAATTTTACCATGTTTATCGTCAAGATGTATAAAAGAAATTTTATAAGAAGAATATTTTTTTAAATTTTTGCATTTCTAAAAATTTACTTTATTGATTTCTAATTAATTATTAAAAATATGTGATATTTAATCAATAACATAAAAATTAAAAAAAATCCAAAATATTTACTTAAGTATACATTTTGTGTTTTTTTAAGACAACTGATAAGTATTTGATGTAGGGATTTTGACGACATAAAATAGGGAAAATACGATGCGATAGATTGGTAGTGGGTAACCTGGTAGTGTGTGCAAGTGTAGTCATGGCTGTCTGACAAAACATTCGAAATAACAAGAATTAATGTAGTAGTTGGTTATTAAAGCTATCATGTCGCGTTTCTTATGCAGCGCAACACTATTCTGATTTAAATTCTGAAGAGTTTATTAGTGACATAGTAATAAAACTTCCATTCAAATCAACATACTTCGAGGTATACTTTGTAGATATCGTTGAGAATAATAATAAATAAGTGGATAGTAATTGTGGATCAGGAAGGAAGTACGGGATTCAAAGCGCAGTGATCGTGAGCCTACGAGGTTCTTTTCTAAAATCTTGTTAAACGAGCGTCGCGTCTAACGACCACCGACGATCGATTACGCAAGATGACCATTCTGTCGAAGAAGAAGACGAACGCCTCAAAAGATAGACGAGAAGGAGGCAGCACTTCCGAAGTCGATGTTCACGGAGTGCAAAACGAGCATAACTCCGGATCCATCACACTACCTAATAGTCCATATCAGGTGAATGAATATCCTAATTGCAGCATCTGCTACTCGCACAATACTTGCATAGTAATTGCAAGAGCGAACCTTAAACGACCTTTTGCGAACCGTGACAGGTACGTGCAGCGAACGGTTTCGCGGTCGATCTACACGGGGTTCAGACCGATCATGGATCTGGTTCTATCGTTCTTACAGGAAGCTCGTATGAGGTAAGAAATATAAAAGCTAGTATTTTTTAAAAATATTCTTCTAATTATCTTTAAATTCAATTTTTATATTAATTTTCAATTGTATAATTAATTAATTATTAAAACATATTCACATGAAAAATTATTTTTCTTTATTTATAATTAATTATAAAAATAATTTATAAATATATAATTTATAAAAATATAATTGTAATTAACTATGCATAATTTTTCATGTTTAATAATTATATATTATTATTTATTCAACACTTATTTTATATGTTCTGACATTAAAGACA